ACAGTACTGAGCTAGATAGAACAATGGCTGAAGGCCAATTCTAGAAATGTGGGATGGGTCTGATTTCACTTAAATATGCAAGAGTATTATTCTCTCGTAACCTTTCCCTAACTCTGTTAACTCTTCTCCAGCTGTTCCCAATTATTCACACATATTTAGTTGTTAAAGTGGCATTATTTAGTTGGCATTATTTACTGGCGGTCCAGAGTGAAGCTGGCTATACAGAATGGCTGTTCCAGGTATATCCAAAAATGAACGCATTCAGGCATTATGCAATTAGTTTCCAGACAACTTCACAGCTTAGAAAATGTCAGGTGATTTTGCAATCTGTGAAAGTAGCAAGACAGCATGTCATCCTGTTATTTAGTTTTTCTGAACCAAAGTCATCTTAGCACAAGAGCAGATAAGGGAATTCTGGGGAGACAGAACCCACCCCCCTAATGTGACTCTGCATCATCCCTCTCCCCACAGAAGTTCCCCCACTCCCTCTCCATGCAAGAGTTATTTAGCTGGAAGCACAGCTGAATAAGCATTATGCCAAATTAACCTGCTTAGACTGGAGAAAAAGAAAGGCAAAAACAAACTTTCCACTCTTGGTTGCTTAGCGCTCTGCACCACTGAACTGTTGCTACTTACTTTGAGAATTAGCTAAAAGCTGGTAGGATGGTTTCCTCGGCTTGGACAAAACCACAGTGAACCCATCTGGGACTGGCTAGTTATATTTGAAATCCCCTTCCATTTCAAAAGCTACAAGCATGCTATACATCAGTGTCATGCAGGACCCTGTTTAATTAGCAGGGTATCAGCAACAATCATGTTCTGAACATGCCCACACAAACATTTTTAAAAAATCTTCATTGCTATCAGCTGTGCTTTTCACAGCAGCATTTCTTACTAACTGAACATTTCTGACATAGTTCAAGACACCCACTAGGCTCAGAGATGGTGGAATTTTGACCCTCCAGATGCTACTGGACTTCCAACTCCCATCATGGAGGATGGATTGAATGTTTTATTTCACAAAGGGATTGCGAGATTCAGAAAAACAGTCCAGCACTTCTTCAGCATCCTTGGCTTGAATGTACCCCCAAATATTACATGTCCGCAGATATTAGAAATGAAGGGATCCAGGTCTGGAAGGCTGCAGCCTCAGAGAAGTAATGTGTGAGTTGCCCAAGGCCACCTTCTCCCTTGTATACCCAGCCATGGGGGGTGGGGGACTCTTAGCCCAGCCTCCAAAATGGTCTCATAAGCTGCATGTGTTCCTCATGCTTTCTGAATGCCTCCCCCACGACATGGAGATAGGCTGTTTCTCTTGTCAGAGGAAAAGGCCGCTCCTCCCTGTCTGCTCTAGCTGATACTAGGCTATGCCTCCACTGTCCCAGTTCTGCTTCCGTTGCATTACTCCACCATGGCACTTAATAATTTACTACTCCTACTTGTTCTTTCTCTTCTCATTGGGAACATGTCCCCTCCACCTTCAGCATGGAAGTACTTGGGCATCATCACACCCCTCAACTGTCCCAGGGACATCCCGGAATTACAGAAGCCATCTTGGCTTCTGATTGGATCCTGGGATGTCCCGTTTTGGCTCAGCGAGAGCGCAGCCCCAAAAGACACATTTGGGGGGGGCATGCTCTCGCACGAGTCACCAAAAGATGTGCATCCCAATTTTCCTCTATGGCATGTCGGAGGGTATGAATCAAAGAAGAAGAAGAAGAAGAGTTTGGATTTGATATCCCGCCTTTCACTCCCCTTCAGGAGTCTCAAAGTGGCTAACAATCTCCTTTCCCTTCCTCCCCCACAACAAACACTCTGTGAGGTGAGTGGGGCTGAGAGACTTCAGAGAAGTGTGACTAGCCCAAGGTCACCCAGCAGCTGCATGTGGAGGAGCGGAGACTCGAACCCAGTTACCCAGATTACGTGACTACCGCTCTTAACCACTACACCACACTGGCTCTCGAATGCTGAAACAGCAACACCTCCCTCCTTTCCCCAAACCAAAAAAGGCTCTAGGTCTGGTCAACACCTTCTACCAGACAGCTCCTTCCCATCCCTCTGGTCCTCAAGCTTGCTTCTTCCCCAATGAATGGATAATTGCCAGGGTCTGCATGAAGCACACCGTAAAGAAAATGGTTTTGTGTGCGTGCAATTTTCTAAATCAGAAACAGAGATGTGTTTAAAAAAGCAAAAGGGAAGAAAACTCTCAGCCCCACATCATGAGACTGGACAATGCAGACCATTAATGGCTACATGTGTGCCAGCTTAAACCACCATGGAAGTAAATGGTGGTGGGAGAGCAACCAGAGTTTAATTTGTTTCATCCGCTACCACAACACCCCAACTGCCCTCCTCCCCAGCTCTTGCCTGAGCCTTTCTTGCATCTGTACTGCCTCAATCCTTCCACCCGTGCTCTTCTCTGAAAAGTGTGATGCAGCTGCGCAGTTTGGTTATTTGACCCCATTGTTATAGTAGCATGAAGCCACAATCCTGTATGTGCTGGACAAGCCATAACATGTCCCTTCTATGCTGAAACTGACTGACAGAAGGAATAAGAGACACCAAGTGGTAGGAAATATTATTTCGCATTTTAATCTAACAACTTCTAAATGATGGGTCTCCCCCTCCCCTCCCCTCCCTTTCTCTTCTTACTAACCACACCTTCTGAAAGGCATTAAAGGTCAAAGAACTTAGTGTTCTAGTTCAAGAGCTGTTTTAATCCAATGCCGGGGCTGGGCTCCTTTTGTTACTCATCAGCTAGGCACTTCTCCAGGACTCCAAAATGAAACCCAGGAGGAGGGTAGCAGGTTATTATCGCACAGTAGTACTTTCAAAGCTGCCACTTGGAAACCAGAAGCTATTCTTTTGGGAATTATGGGATCAGAACTACCTAAACAGTATAGAAATTGATTTATGCATGCAACCACAGCTGCAAGAAAGTTATTTGCCCAAAAATGGAAGGAAGAAGTGAGAGAAGAATGGATATAGAAGTTAATGGGACTAGGCAGAAATGGCAAAACTTACTGGGAGAATAAGAAATCAAGATAGCAATTTAACAATTTTTTAAAGAAAGGAATGGAAATGGTTTACTGAGTATTTACAAACAAACTGTAAACAGATTAAGACATTGGCAGGATTAATGTAAAAACCTGCAGTCTCTCTCTCTCTCTATATATATATGGGATATATATGGGAATACAGTGGTACCTCGGGTTACATACGCTTCAGGTTACATACGCTTCAGGTTACAGACTCCGCTAACCCAGAAATAGTGCTTCAGGTTAAGAACTTTGCTTCAGGATAAGAACAGAAATTGTGCTCCAGCGACGCGGCAGCAGCAGGAGGCCCCATTAGCTAAAGTGGTGCTTCAGGTTAAGAACTGTTTCAGGTTAAGTACGGACCCCCGGAATGAATTAAGTACTTAACCCGAGGTACCACTGTAGATATATGAAATAATATGTTGAGATAATTTGGAGTATGTAGGAAGATGAAAAGAAATGTAAAGAACCATAGAAAGAGGAGGAAGGGAGTCAGAGTTTTAAATGTTAAAATTATGATTGAATACTTGTTGTAATTTATATAAATGAAAATTATAAAAAATAAAAAAATAAAAAGCTGCCACTTGGCTTTTGAACCTCATCCTATAGATCAACAGCCCTCCCACGAGCCATAATCTTCCAAGAATCAAATCTGATCCCCGTTCATGGTTCAAAAGAGTGCTCTTAGCTGTTGTTGTTGTTTAGTCGTTTAGTCGCGTCCGACTCTTCGTGACCCCATGGACCAGAGCACGCCAGGCGCTTCTGTCTTCCACTGCCTCCCGCAGTTTGGTCAAAGCTCTTAGCTACTCATTACCATATTTTTTCTAAGGTCCATGGCTTCTGGATTTTGCTTCTGTGCTTTGATTTTGTCCCAGGGCAGGGGGGCTTTCTGGGCATAATTTCTTTTCTGTTACTTTTAACAACCACAAAGAACAAACGAGATAGCGCTGCCTCTAACAGCATCATGCTAGATGCCGGCAGGCATGATCAGCTGAAGGAACCGAGTGGGAAGGAGAGAAGTCAGAGTAATAGTTGCAGCAAACCTCGTGATCTCCACCCAAAATAAGCCCACCCCCCACGGGCTGCACTGCAGTATGAAGAGCCACTCGCCCATACAGCCCATAAACATCCTCCTCCCTTCCTTGAAAGCTGCCTCAAGGTCCAACTGCTCCATTCTGGATCCTATTTTGGACATGTGCAACATATTCCAATTCATCCTTGCTGAGAGGTTAGTGCCACTGTGCCTAATGGCTCTTGTTGGCCACTAAATGTGTTTAGGAATGTGGTCTTACACACAGTATTTCCATTTAAGAAGCTCCTTCAACATGTTTTAACCCCTATGATATTTCAAATGAGAGAGAGAGAGAGAGAGAGAAAGAAGTTTAAAGCAAGGAAGGGAAAGAAATACATACACCATTTAATAATACAAATATACTGGAGTAGCAGCCAATCTCACCCCTCTCCTGGGGGGCCACTATACAGAGAGAGTCACTGCTTATTGTCTCCAAGGCACACAAAAGAATACAGAGAGAGTTCTGGTAGGTCAAGCATCCTGTTCTTCATGGTAGCGAATCATATGCCTCTGGGAAGCCCACAAAGAAGACATGAGACCAACAGCCCTATCCTCTGCAACCGATACTGAAGGCAACATAGTCATCAAGACTAGAAGCAACTGTTAGCCATATCTACCACAAACCTGTCCGTTTCCCTTTAGAGCCAAGTTGGTGACCACCACCATATCTTAGGCTAGTGAATGCCAGAGTTTATCTAGCACAATGTTCTCTGGGAATTTCTGTGTGGGCGGAAAAATTAGGGAATGCTCGTGTACATTTTATGTACACAAGTACAGAAGTAAAGTACACCTCCTGGAACTGGAAGTTCCTAATGCTGTCTACCTTTGATCAATGAATGTGTGTTCTCATGAAACACAGCCATTGGCATTGGATCTTTGAAGTTCCTTACCATATTGCTGTTAGTCTTGCTGGCATGTGCCTCCATCTGTTGCCAGTACTTCTTGGATTCCTGTACAATATCTTCATGGGTCATCCCTGGAATTATAATAAAGTCTTCTATTAAGAGCTTCCAACTTCCAGAATCTTTTCAGATTTTTTAAAAGAATGGTTTTACTTGTAGTGCTTCAAAAAGGCAATGGACCAACAGACTTGGAGATTCAAGTAATTTCATTGTGAACAACCCTGAGATCTCTGATGAAGGGTGGTGGGTGGGTGTGTACACACACATACACACACCCCACCCTTCATATATAATACTCTACAAGTGCAGCAGAAATATAGCAATAAAAGGGCATAAAATTTAAGAGTTCTTGAAATTGGCTGCCTCCAATTTCCAACCACTCTTGCCAAGTTGACAGTTACATCCATTGATCCACTCTAGAGCTTTTCTTTTCTGCAAAGTGTAGAATATTAAAACCTAACACCACAAATCATTCCCTCAACTCTTATAATTCATGTATGTAAGATTTTAATATACTAAAGGTACAATCCGATGGTCCCTAGAAAGGCATCTCAGGAACCATAGATACTGCAGATTTCCATCCTCAGGATGAGCCAAGTGGTACACTTACCGGAGTACTGCTGTAGCAGCCAAACTTTGAGCTCTATGAAACTGTGAGCAAAATGGCAGCTGTCTTCACGCAGGCAGCCGTAACGCACCTCATGCCGGCACACATCAAACTGAAAGTGCTCCTGGAACTGGCGGATCTTGGAGTATTTTAGTGAGGTGGAACGAACAATGTGAACTAGACACCTGCATCGAGGAGAGGAATGTTTATTCATAAAGATGCTTGTTTTAAAACAACAGTGATATAGAAAAATACTGCCCAGCCTGAGCCAGCCCATCCATTTGCAGCACCTTCTGCCCCCTGATTCTACAGAGAAGAACCTCAAATATGGATTGCAATGTTAGTCTGTCAAGTGACTGCCATAAAACATGCCCACCAGTCCCTAATTATTTGCACCTTTTGAGGCTTTTCATTATAAGCCACTTTGGGAGCTAATTGTGCTAAGTTTAGTCCACCATGGGTACGTACCTCAGTTTCAGAACACACACTTACTAGATGTGGGCTTTGACAATTGTGTATCTGCAGTGCTTCATGAGTAATGTATTGATTGGGCTAGACACAGAAAATAAAATATTATATCTTGGGCCTGATTTATGCATTACTCAAGAAGCATGGCAAATACCTAATCATCAGAACCAACAATAAGAAAAGGTTGGTTCCACAACTGTGGTGCTTATGTGTGGTGTTTAACAGGATGGCATCACGGTGAGGAATGCTGCTCTGAACGATCTGCTAGATCAGTGTTTCCCAACCTTGGGCCTCCAGCTGTTTTTGGACTACAACTCCCATCATCCCTAGCTAGCAAGACCAGTGGTCAGGGATGATGGGAATTGTAGTTCAAAAACAGCTGGAGGCCCAAGGTTGGGAAAGACTGCAGCAGCAAGAGCACAACCACATGTCAACTGTTTCCATGCTGCTAAAGGTAATGCATTAATATGGATTTAATGATCCTTATCATAATAATATAGGATAGACCAGGAGTATTCTCAGAGGGCATTACTGGCGAGACCATCAGCCACAGCTCATTGTTGAGCAACTGCTTTTCATCCCCAGCATCTCCAGGTAGAGACACTCTAGTGTGAAACCCTGGAGAGCAGTTTGTCAGTCTGTGTAGAGTCAATACCGAGCTAGTTAAAGGTTTGACTTAGTCCAAGGCAACTTCCTATGACGAAGCCCAGCCCACTTACTTGTTATCATAAAAGCTATGTTTCGCAGCTAGGTTGGAGCACACTGCTGGCGAGTCCTTGGTCCCTTTGCTGATTATCCGGGGTTTGCTATCAAAGCAGATCTGCAAGCACACCATTAGAAAAGGGTTTCAGACTCTTAAGTCCCTAGAAATTGATTTAAACAATCATTTCTAAAGCACTTCCAGTGCACTGTAATATTTGCCTAACAAGGGCTGAAATCTGAATGGTTCCCAAATGGAACCCTGGAGAGCCCCTGACAGTCAGTGTTGACATTACTGGGCAAGGTGGTCCAATAGTCTGATTCAGTGTAAGACAGCTTCTTGTGTTCCTTTATCATGCTCCTGGCAACTTGTGATTATAGGTAATTATTATTATAGACGAGGAATTAAGGCTAGGAGGTTGCAACTTGCCCACTCAACAAGTCCCGATCTTCCAGGACCCAGCCTAATGCTCCATTGACTAGAACACAGTGGCTTTCTGCTAAGTTATTTAGCGAGAGAACAGGGTGCTTATTGTAATCAAGCCACAACCGCACAGTGATGTTTCCAATTCATGTTTCTCAGCAGTACTGGGGGTTTCTGGAGGCCAGCTCAAGGCTAGCCACATAGCAACTAGGCAGTAAATTCCAGAGAGGCGCCATTTTCCATCACTTTAAAACAGAGCTGCAACCCAGAATGGAGTGTGAGAGAGAAAGGGTAAGCAGAATTTTGGTGTTTTTATGCAAAACCAAAACTGATAAATGTCAGCACTGGACAGTATTCTGGGTGAAAGGCTCAATGGCCCAGTTATGTAACTAGACAAGGAGAAAGATGCAGTGGAAGGACATCTTGCCTGCCTTCTACTCCATACCTCACAGAGAAAGGTGAATATGCCCTGGTGTTCCTTCAAGATCCTGGCAATGGTCAGGCTGCCCCGCTTGACTCCGCCCAGCGGGTCAAAGAGGAGGTCACGATTGAGAGTCCCCTTCCGCTCCTCTGTCCACACGTCGATCTCCTCCTGGTGGTACGCGAAGGTGCAGTTATCCCCGTACTTACAGTCCTGCTTGTTAAGCATATCTACAAAGCAACAGACATCACACCACCACACAAGGAATGGAGGCTGGAATCAGAACCAAGCTCTCTTGCTACCCCTTCTTCTGTTTCCTCCTCTCCCCTCCCACTCAGCCCCAAGATCACAAACAGTTAAAAATAGACCAATGAGTTCAAAATGTCACATCTTGGTGTAGCCCAGCCTTCCCCAACCTGGTACCCTCTGGATGCTGTTGGGACTACAACTCACATCACCCTGAACCATTGGCCATGCTGGCTGTGGCCCATGGGAGTTGCAGTAGAACCACAACATCTGGAGAGTACCACATTGGAGAAGGTTGCAATTAGTCAACATAATAACTCAAGCCCCTGTCATCTTTACTAATGATTAACTTAACCTCCCCAAAGAAACCTGCCAGACACCTGCCCATTTTGGCGTTAAGTCAGACAATTTGATTTTCTTAGTATGTTAATTTAATCATTTTTTCTTGGCTGATGGCAATTGTGTTTTTACGCTGCCCTTTTAAATCTTGCTGCTTTGGGTGTGCTTTTGTATATCTTTTATATATCTTTTGTATATCTTTCTTGTTTTATTACTGAACTTTGAAAATTTTGTAAGCCACCATGCTGGGGAATCAATTGAAGGCAAAGGTATAAATCCCTATAATAATTAAAGTCTGTACACATTCATGAAGGAGAGGGTCGGTCAGTAGGAAACAGGTCATGGCTACAGAAAGCAGCCTCTCTCTCCCCATGCCATATTTCACAGAACCCTCCTTCTGTATGAAGCAGTCCCATCCCCCCGTCCCCCAATGTACCCTTTCCCTTCAATTCACCTTTGCACAGATAATAAGATCCCACAAAGTTTGTCTTGGTTGGCCGTGGTCGGATTCTCTTCCAGGTTTTATCTTCCGAGTTGCAGCGCCGGCCCAGCAGTATATCCCGCTTGCACTTGTGTTCCAGACCTTCTCGATAGGTATAATCGCCAGCCTTGGGTCCTACAAAAGGGGAGACAAGATTAACAAGAGCCCAGTTTTCCCAATAGCAACTAGTCCAAGTCACCACAAGCAAATAACCTGTTTTGGGATAGCAGATGCGACAGGCTTGTTTGAAGATGTGAGTGGACGCCAGCGGATTCTTCACAAGCAGAGCTGTGTTGGGCATCACTGACTCTGGCTGACACATCAGCAACTCTACCACTTTGGGTACCGTTGGGTGACTTGGTCCACTGTGGTTTGCCTGGAGAGAGAGTGGGGGGGGGGAATTGCAAAGAAAAGTAATTGAACCCCTCTCCTGAAGTTCTTCAGGTCAACCTGCATTTCAGAAAGAACAAGCCAAAGCGCGCAGACTAAAGCCCTTCCTCTACATGCAAGGAGAATTACTCTGACTTTCGTGGTCAATCCAAAATACAATATTGAGCATTCCCATGAATTCTAGGCAGCGTTGCAAAGAAGAACTGTCAAAGTGTTGCCCTATTGTGCCATTAGTGGAATAGACTGGATGACATCTGGGTATCAATTATATTACTGACTGTTACACTGAAGGTGCACCTGAAAAGCTATTTCCTTCTTATTTGAAAGCTTATTGGAAAGGTCAAAGAGTATCCTACAATCGTCCAATACACTTTAGTTGCCTATGTGGTTCAGCTAAAGTGTCATATATAGCTCAGGAGGGGAAAAATAACTTTTTTTCTTATACATAGCTGTATCATGGTAATTGTGAAAAATAGTGAAATTAGTTTTTTGTAACAGATTTCATTAGCTTTCCAACACAGTTTTAACATTTTAAATCACATACTTTGTTGACATTGTATCTTAAATTAGAAAAGGTGGCACCAGCCATCTTAATGACAGCATAAAGAGCTCAAGCAACCTGCCAGAACGGGCTATCACATGAAAATGCAACCAAGATATACACCTTTCAAAAAATCCTAATGAATTTTTGCCACCTTACATGATGCTAAAGGGTCCATTTTCAGCTCTTGGCCCACATATTATTCCATCTCCCAATCCAGAGAAAAAGAGAACAACTAGTACTCACCAAGGGTGGTGGTTTCTGGGTACCAGCAGGCTGCCGTGGTTCTTGTGTGCTGGTTTCCTCTGAACAAGGAGAGAAAAATCACAAGAGAAATGAAGGCAGCTGGCCAGTGTTACAAGCATGATTGCCAACTACCAAGCACTACCACATTCAATAACCTTCTCTTTTCTTAAGTTCCCAAGAGGCAACAGAAACCAAGTTCCACATTCTTTTAGCACTTGAGGCAGATAGTTTCAATAATTTAAAAAAAAAACACCCTAGATTTAAGAAAGAAAATCATAGTAATGCTCTTGCACAGCCCTGCTACCCAGGTCATTACCATGAGGTCTGCACAGGAAAATATCCCAGGGGGTTCTCTCTCCAGTGTTAGTTTCTAATTACTCCAAAGAGGCAGTTCTCACCAAGAGGAAAATTGTTTTCTAGTGGTTTAGATATCACTGGCTAGAAAAAGACTCTTTTCTTCAAATTTGCTTTGGATCATACAGAAACATACCTCCTGCTCCTTCATCCTCTTACATGTTAATCTTGTTATTCAGTCAAGTAATTCTTTAAGTTTCCCTTAATCTATAATGCAGCAATGAACTAATACTGCTGCTGTTTGGTGCGAACCACATGATGGGCACTATACAAACCAACACATTTATCCATTTGCTTATTTATTATACCCAGCCTAGTTAGAAAAAAGAAACTTTTGCAATTTAAAAGTGACAATACAAGGCTGGGACATAGGCCAGGAACTGATATGAGTGGTGAGAAGGAGAGAGTTAGATGGCAGTGGAGGAGCATGTAACATAAGCCTAGGGCAGTTGATGCTTCACAGAGATATGCCTAAAAATTATACGGTGTTTTGATGTAGCATTGCTCTTCCTTTCTCACAAGATAATGTGACTCTAACAGGCCCCACACCTACCAACAGTAAAGGAATCCAGTGCATCTAGTGATCCCCTATTGGTTCCAAAAGCATCCAACACATCGAGGCGGGACTCTGTGTATGGGAGCAAGTCCAGCGAATCCAGTGAGTCCAAAGGGGAGCTGCCACTGCCACCCACAGGCGATTCAAAGGCATCCAGGACAGATGAGGAGGAGAGCTGCTTAGTGGCATCCATCACAAGGCCAAAGGAAGCAGGAGGGAGCGGTGTGGAGACTGGAATGCTGGCAGTCACCACGGGAGGGAGCAGAGGAGTGCCACCTGGAAACACGGGGATCAGCTGGGGCATCTCACTAGACAGGTTGGCAGGGATGGCACCTTGGACCAGGGACTTCAGCAAGAGAGATAAAACATGATACAGTTAGAGGGGAAGAGATGAAATACACCAGATATACAAGGTAGGTAGCACAGGGCACTATGACAGACAGAATTGAAGACTAGTTTACAGTTACTTTCTCCAATGCAGCACCATTATCAACCAGTATCTGGGTAATAATAATAATAATAATAATAATAATAATAATAATAATAGTAATAATAATTTATTATTTATACCCCCCCCCCTTCTGGCTGGGCATCCCCAGCCACTCTGGGCGGCTTCCAACAAGATATTAAAATATTGTACAGTAATCCATCAAACATTAAAAGCTTCCCTAAACAGGGCTGCCTTCAGATGTCTTCTAAAAGTCTGGTAGCTGTTGTTCTCTTTGACATCTGGTGGGAGGGCGTTCCACAGGGCGGGTGCCACTACCGAGAAGGCCCTCTGCCTGGTTCCCTGTAACTTGGCTTCTCACAGTGAGGGAACCGCCGGAAGGCCCTCGGCGCTGGACCTCAGTGTCCGGGGAGAATGATGGGGGTGGAGACACTCCTTCAGGTATACTGGGCTAAGGCCATTTAGGGCTTTAAAGGTCAGCACCAACACTTTTATTCACACAGACCCTCCTCTGTTTTGGGGTGCAACTCCTGCCTCCCCCACTGCAGTTCAGCATTACATAGCCATCAAGATTAACCAGGTGTCAGAAGCATAAGTGGCATTAACTGGATTGGGGGAGCGGGGAGGAAGAATGCAACAGGTGAACAGATCCAGTAGGGTACCAGAAAGAAGCTTCAGGGAGCTTCAGGGAAGGAGAATGTGCTCAATGTTGACCCAGAGCATTGGTATATCTAGGAAAGAACCATCTACAGTGGTGCCTCGCAAGACGAAATTAATCCGTTCCGTGAGTCTCTTCGTCTTGCGGTTTTTTCGTCTTGCGAAGAACGGCTATTAGCGGCTTAGCGGCTATTAGCGGCTTAGCGGCTATTAGCGGCTTAGCGGCTATTAACAGCTTAGTGGCTTTAAGAAAAAGGAAACAAACTCGCAAGAACTCGCAAGACATTTCGTCTTGCGAAGCAAGCCCATAGGGAAATTCGTCTTGCGGAACGACTCAAAAAACGGAAAACCCTTTCATCTAGCGAGTTTTTCGTCTTGCGAGGCATTCGTCTTGCGGGGCACCACTGTACTCTGATTAGCACAGTTGCTGTCTAACACGGACAGTTGGTCTTTCCTAGTACATGCCTAATACTTTCCTAATACAGGATTCTTTCAGGTTGGTGTCAGGGATTGAACCCTGGATTTCCTGCATACTGTACACAACACATGCTCTGCCATTAAGCTATGGACTTCCCCATTCCTGATATCAGAGTTTTCTCTTAGCCATGATTTGAAACGGATGTTGGGGAGGAAACCCTGGACAACTTCAGCCACTGTCAGCATCAATGCCACTATATCACTTAATTGCATGTAAGACTAGTAGAGAACAATTCGGACTCCAAAAGGCCAACGTGTGTGGACAGGGAGACCAGAACTCTGCTTCCAATTACTTAACCACAGCTATACAGTTGGGAGTTTTAGATGTGCACACACCCTTTGTGTTCCCAAGGTGATAAACAATGCCACATGGAAATGTATAATATACTCAGGTCTCACGTTGGCTCAGATCTCGTCAGATACTTAGAAACCAAAAGGAGGAGTTTGTGGGCAGGGAAGAGAAACCAAAAGGAGGAGGGAGAAAGACACAGAACTCTCCAGTGCATGAGGAGAAGAGTGAGGGAAAGTCAGAAAGGAGTGACTGAAAGCAGAGACGTAGATGGATAGGTAGACCTAGGAAATCCACTCTTACCAGAGGGTATTGTGACCCATCTGCAATAGAATCCAGAATGGAGTCCAGTTCATGCCCAAGAACTCCTCCTTCAGTGAAGTCATCAGCACCCTCAGACCCTGGCATGGATGCAGCATCAGTAGAAGGGAGCAGGGTGGCGGCAGGCAGTGAAGTTGGTGTGCCTTTCGTATCCAAGTCAGTTGATGGAAAGGCAGAGTCCTCACTCACAGAGACATTGGGAGGGGTGACGCACTGGAGACCGAGAGAGCTGTCTGCAAGGCAAATAACTTGATCACATCCAGATGGCAGCGCACACACAGATCCCAATCCAGTAGCAGAAATTGAAGCTCACAGACCCTTGCTCTCTGAACTATAGGAAGCTACCGTATGCCAGCCCAGGACGTTTGTCCAACTAGCCCAATATTGTACACTCTGGGGGGCAGTGGTTGTCCACGGTCTCAGGCAGAGGTCTCCCCCACCCCTCATCACCCACTATGTGATCCTTACATAAACAGACAGACAGAAATACCAGGAATTGAACCACAGACCTTCTGCACTCAAAGCCTGTACTATACTGTGTCTCCCATCTTCAAAATATGTCTTTCAGTATCTGGCAGAGTACAATCTAAAGTCATGTTTCTAAGAGTTTCTTCAAATTTTATAGCATGCTGGCGCCCTGTGTATCATGGGAAAAGGGTATCTTCTGCAGTGGATTTCATTTACATGTGCTGGGAGCTTCAGCATACATTGGTTTTTCTGCCAATCCACACAGTTCAGGGGAACAACTGCAAACCCAGTACAAGGTTCTCAAATCTGGCTCAGGGAGGGAAGTTGCAAGAGAAAGAATTTACTTCCCCCCTCCCCTCTACCAGAACATTTTCTGTCACTCCAGATATAGTCCTTAGTGGCAAACCAGGTGGAAGAACCAGAGGTCCTGAAGATATGCCCTGAGACTTTCTGAAGTCAAAGCTTAAGTCAGTAAGAGAGACAAAAATTGCTATGAGTCAAAGGAACATAAAACTAATCACCTGTTTCAATGTCATCTACAGAGCCCAATCCATTAGAAACAGTCTGCAAAGATAAAGAATATACTATTGTCATCCCTCTGGCAGGGTGGGGGGAGTTGCTACTCTCAGCATTCAAATCTTTTCTCCAACTTTCACAAAGAGTTATTTCAGGGCACACAGTGATGTACCTAACTACAGGAGTTTGCAGTTTTTTCCTCTTGCAAAGTGTTTATTCACTTTACTGACACACATACTGATCTTTGAAACTAGCACTAATTTCCTCTCTTTCACCCTTCCCTCCAGACTTCAGGCAAGCTTTCAACTATTAAAAAACACAAAAAACTTGGGCATATGTTCATCTGGTTAAATTTTCTTTGGATCCCTTTCCCGTTGGTTTTTTTAAAAAAAAAACCTTGAAATACTGCTCAGGCCATGTGAGTTATGTGACTAGTTGGACCGACAATCAGTGCTCCACAACTGACTGACTTCATGACTGTCACAAGGGCCATTAGCTAGCCAGTCAGCACTCTCTACAGTTTTTCAGATTCTGCTAAAATTCTGGAATGCAATCAACTGCACTTAAAATTAAACATTTCTAGGAGGCATCATTTCTTGCAACACTGGACTTAGGCAGTGAGTGCCAATAGTACTCTAGCCAAGCAGGATCACTGAGAAACATGAGGGAGGTACCGGCATACTTGGTGGAATCCCAGGGTTTGAAGAACAATAAAACGCTTTAAGCGGGAAATGGGGACAGGGAATGAAATGAAGTTTCACGAAGAGGTCCTGGCTGGCTGGCATGCTGAACAGCAGCACTTGACACTGCAAAATGTTGTTTCAGGTCTCACTTGCACTATTTTATCAATAAAGGCTACCTGATTTGGTAAGGCAGAAGACAGGCCATTACTAAGTAGAGAAAACGTTTCCAATTCCTGCTGCAAGGAAGAGAGAACAGTGGTAATCTACAAGATTCTGACAAAAAGTCACTTCCATATTAAGGAGCAGGTAAACATACAAGATGGCACTGACTGTGTGTATATATATGTATTGCACTGTACATGCAGCCTGTACACAGACCAGAAATTGCAGCTAAACCTCACTTCCCAGTTTTCTACATTCAGTACAAGGCATGCTTATATAAAAGTCAAATGGGACAATCTACATGCTGGTTACATGCTGTTCCCAACAAGAACTGACTACAGTACTGTGTTTGGAATATCGCATCATTTGCAAGTGGATAGTCTTATTCTGGATTTTTTCCTGGGTGAAACTAATAGTGCTAAGTTTTGACAGGAGAGGAGGTAGGTAGTCACGCTCTCTAAGGTCTTCATAGGTAGCCAGACAGTATGATTCTGTTCTGAGCTGGCTAGCTGAATTAAATGTCATTTCTAATTAAATACCATTTATAATAGTGGCAGGTGCTCTTAAAATAGAATACAGTGGTACTTTGGTTTTTCAAACGTCTTGGAAGTAGAACGTTTCAGTTTTTGAACGCCAAAAACCCAGAAGTAACTGCTTCAGTTTCTGAACGCTTTTCGGAAGTCAAACGTGCCACGCAGATTCTGTATAGAATTTTCTGGAAGTAAATGCTTCAGTTTTTGAACGTTTTGGAAGTTGAACGGTCTTCCGGAACTGATTACGTTTGAAAATCGAGATACCACTGTACTCACCATTCCAAGCTTCTTTTTTGCCATAAGCCTTTTATACACACATTTACACGCAACTGTACACACAGTACTCCCCCCAAAAAACAACAACATGGAGGCCTTTCAGATGCTGGTGGACAACTCCCATAATCCCTGACCTTTGGCCATGAAATCTGGGAGTGGTGAAAGATGGAGTCCAGTAAACATCAGGAGGGCCACACAGGACCCCAAACTAGACCTGCTCAACTGCAGCAAGCCCAATTCTGAGCACTGGCCATGAATGGCGGTTCACCAGAACTCAACACTTCCTATTTCTGTTTTCTCTTTTGAGGACTGCATAAACATGGGAGGCTACCAAGCACTTCAGAGGTTACCACACATTGTTGGTGAGCTGAATCACATGCTGTGCAGCCTTGGGCTAGAGTGCTGGATTTGGATGCTGGAACCCCAAGTTCACATCCCTGCACAACCACCTTGATGCTCACTAGCTAGCTTTAGGCAAGTCACTCTCAGTCTAATGTATCCCAAAGGATTGTTGGGAGGATACAATCACATAGCCCTATATATGCCAACTGAAATAAACGTGGGACATGAATACTATACCTGAGGCCTCTTATAGGCTTTCCGGACCCTTAATCCCAGTTTCTGTGCAAGCTCCTGGCCGAGTTGTGCTACACTTTCATCCTTCAAGGAGAAGACAATGAGCACATTTGTAGGTGTACAAAGTGTTTCACTCAATTCTTTGCAAATATAGCCCCCCCCCCTTATGTGGGGTTACGTTCCAGGCCCATCATATAAGTGTAATTGTGTAAATTTCGTAAGTGAAATTGCATGAATCCTCTAAATGCCTATTGTTCCCTGCTCCCAAGCTCTCTCTTGTGCCGCCTCTCCAATCCAGACCAAAATATCTAGAGGTGAGATATGAGCAGAACAAGGGACAGTGTCTCTGCAAGAGGGGACATAATGGCAGGGAAGCTGTGGGGGGGGGAGAGAAGCAGCACTTGCAGTAAGAGAGAACAGGGGCTTTCCCCCAGAAGCTGTCATAAATAAAAATATATTTGCAAATCTAAGTGCTAAAGACAATAATAAGCTTTCATATTTGTGCTGGAAACTGCATGATCTATTTATTAGTTTGCTCAATGCTTGGAAGATTTGTAGATTCCTTTTTATTGCTCTTTGGATCAAAACAAAAGATGAGAGAGCCTATGACAGAGGAGGGGAATGGAAATCTCGAGTTTGATTGTAATTTCTTTTAACACATTTATGCACTTTCCATTAAAAAGTCAATGACTGTAAATGTGCAAGCCACTACTTACATGCGGGAGGGAGAGCAAGCAGCGGCTGTTACATTCATATGCTTCCTTGTGCCTCCCTAGCTCATTCAAGCAGCGGGCTTTCCGGAATAGCGCACGGATGTTCTCCTTGTTGAATCCCAGAGCCTTCTCACTGTCTTCCAGAGCTTTCTCATGCAGGCCCTTTTGGAAAACAAGACTATCATAACCATAAGAAGCTTGATATAAACGGATCCTACACGTCTCCTTCCATGCAAGATCTGTCCAACCTAATTGCTCTTAAGTTCTGCTTGTACAGAAAAGAAAGGGGGAGCAAAAGAACAGTGTGTCAGGTTAATACCCACAACAATGGGTAATTCTTCCCCTTGGTGTATAGTGCCTGTAGTCAGATCCCTGCCCTCACCCCCTAAAGGCAATGGAATGAATAGCACAAGTATGATCATCACCTGATGACTGCAACATCAAATAAAGGCAAGTGAGCCATGACATATATTGATTTTTTTTTTAACCAAAATTACTTTAATGCAGTTTAAACCTGCTTATATGCAAGTCATCAAATGATGGAGAGATCAAATAAAGCACACACGTGCACAAGCTAGCCCCAAGACTACTCACCATGGCAAAGTAGCAGGCAGCCCGATTGACATGCAGCTTGCATAAGAGATCCACCGGAATGGCCACCTCATCTGAAGCTGCATATTCGGCCACATTCAGCCCTTCGACATACTGAACCAGCGCTAGCTTGAAATCCTTCTCTCTGAACAAATCATTGCCCTCTGCAAATAAGTTTCTCACCAGCTTTTGCAAAAAAGCCTGTAGGAATAAGAAACGAAGAAAAAACACTATGCCATCCCGTAGTGTCCTTGCTACAGTGCCAAAAAGGCATCAAAATCACTATATACATTCTCTCAGAATATAAAGGAGGCACATAATTTGAATAATCCTAGAAAGTCACAATTCCCTGTGGACAGGTTTATGAGAAATAGCTTGTCTGCTGAGAGAAACAGTGTTCCTTGGTTGGAAAGCTTCATCATGGCATGGTACGGTGAATGTGTCTGGAGGAGTGGGGAAGAGTACAATGGACAAGATTCACTCATGCACATTAAGCCATGGTTTATGGCTTAGCATGATGTGTGAACGCAGCACTCACCTGCTTTTTCTTCATCTCATCTCAATGATATTGTGCTTCACAATATTACTGTCTGCTATGCAGTGTTCCAATGTCACAACACAGTGTGGACAGGACTTGACCAGAAAAATAGGACCTAGACCAGTCACAGTACATTTTTAGAGCAAAAGAGTTCCCTAGACTCATAGCTATGGTTAGAGAGGGGACATCTGTCAAAGGTTTTAGGGCAGATGCCCTGCCAGAGGCTGCAGAACTCAAATGAGGAGTCTTAAGAGCCAGGCAACAACTCAGTAAGTAAGTGGGCTTGAGTAAATTCAAGTTTCCCATTTTAAAATAAATATATATCTCAGGCAAGTATGCATAGCATGCTTGTTCAATTAAAGCAAATTTGAGTATCAAAGCTAAGCTATACTCAGACCCACTGAAGTCAACGTATTTAAGTAACTTAGTCAAACAACAAAAATATTATTGGAAAGTAAATGCCCACGATGTTGATAGTTTTTTACATACTCATATTTTGAGAACTGAACCAATTGGAGATCTCAGTAGCAGGAGGATATAATATAAAAATCACCCACACAAACCCAGCTGATAATCCCAATGCGATTTAGAATGGCATCTCCTGAATCCTAGCCGCATCCATCACTAGCATGTGGCCCTCAAAAACTTGCCCAGAAGGAAATATGGACCTTGGATGGACCTCGGGCTGAAAAAGCTTCCCTATCCCTGTTCTCTAAGCAACTATGCCCATCCAGCAGCAAGACGCAACTACTTCCCTTTCCCTCCCTGCCGTCACCACCCCAGTCACAAGGACTAATTCGTCAAGATAACATTGTATATTAAAATGTCATTTGGTACTACTTCTTTTTTTAAAAAAGAAACTCTTAAAATTACCTCATAATCTTCTTGGCTTAGGGGTAACGTGGACCTAAACAAAGACAAAGGGCTTCTGAAGTACAGAAATATACATATATATACATCACTCTAATATGTGAAGCAGTATAAATGAATAATGTAAGTGGAAATAGGGAACCTCTTCTTTTTTTACCTGTGGGCATTGGTATGCTCACTTTTCAGAGATGAGTTTGCAGAATGCACTTAAGTTTTTCATGGCCTGTACTTTAAACTATGTGTACTGCATTATCCCTTTGGCTTCAGCCATTGCACACAAATTTACCTGTTGCTGAAGAACACTTTGCTTATGTTTATATATACACACACGCGCACAAAACCTTTTGCACAAAAATCCACATTATTTGATTGAGTGTGTGTACAGTGGTACCTCGCAAGACGAATGCCTTGCAAGACAAAAAACTCGCTAAACGAAAGGGTTTTTTGTTTTTTGAGCTGCTTCGCAAGACGATTTTCCCTATGGGCTTGCTTCGCAAGACGGAAACGTCTTGCAAGTTTGTTTCCTTTTTCTTAACACCGTTAATACAGTTGCGACTTGACTTCGAGGAGCAACTCATAGTGTGGTAGCCTTTTTTGAGGTTTTTAAAGACTTTGGTGATTTTTGAAGCTTTTCCAAAACTATCCCGACACCGTGCTTCGCAAGACGAAAAAAATCACAAGACGACAAAACTCACGGAACGAATTAATTTCGTCTTGCGAGGCACCACTGTATATATATGTGTGTGTATATATATATGTGTGTGTGTGTGTGTGTGTGTGTACGCGTGCATGTGTAACACACACACACCACACACACACACAATTCTTTGGGCAAGAAAGCAGGCTTAAAGACAAGTTAATCAAAAAATTGGCTGTGCTTCGGTATCGGTTTATATTTCTTTTGACTTTCAAGGCAGTGAAAGTGACTAACACAGGAAAACAAAGCCCTCTGGGTAACGTACTACCAACTATGGTATTAGCCAGCACAACATCATTCCTGAACTATCATAGATGGGAACTTAAATAGAGGGAAACAAATAAATTGTTTCAACTTGCTTGGGTGGCAATTGGCCTATTGCCATACAAAAATCCAATGTTTCCTGTGTTGATAAAATGTCCCCTGCATTGCTAGGTGGCCTCATGGAGGCAATACTTTCTCCACAGCCAGATAACAACCCAAACACACAGTTTGGTTTCTCTGTCTAGGAAATGATAACACTACTTGTTTTCCACATCACAGGCATAGTGTCCAGTTCAATAAATTATGTCTGTCAAGTATTTTCCTTCAATAGAATGAATCAACATTCTTCAATATACAAATGGAAAAGGTTTTGCCTAGGTTCCCAAGTGTATCTAGTTTCCATGGGCTGCTACGTATGTGAAAAAGCTGGGTGTGCACCACAGATTTAAAGGGAATTTGGCTCCTCTATCACTTATAATTGTACTATTGTACAGTTGTATGAACCAGAAGTGACTATCGACTGGAGTGCAAGTCTTAACCCTATAACCATAGACAGTTGGCATGACAATCCATTTACTCAGGAATAGTCTTATTAAAGTAGGAGCCTTCCAATCTGCAGCCTTACTCTAGAAAGTTAAGACTGCAAACTTCTGGTACAGTGGTACCTTGGAACTCGAACTGCTCGTTTCAGCTCCTGAATGCCAAAAACCCGGAAGTGCCCCGGTTTTCAAACGTTCCTCAGAACACAAATGTCCGACACGACTTCAACTGTGCAAAAACCTAGCTGTCGGCCAATCGGAAGCCACACCTCAGAACTCGAACGTTTCAGAAGTCAAACGGTCTTCTGGAATGGATTACATTCGCATTCCAAGGTACCACTGTATTTCACAGTTCTCCCTTACAAAGGTAAAAACACAGTATACTCAACTCAAGGCCAAGTATACATTTCCATGCAACAAGTGTTACTTATGTTATAGTGGTGCCACAATTTTGGAGGCTGTACAAGAATTGTGGTTTGATTCCTTATAAGTTTTTCTTAAATTAGGTATTTTTATGTCAGCATGTTTCTGCTGCTATTTATGAAAGTTATGCTTTATTGTGTGAGCTGTTTTGGTCTTCATTTGAAGGGAAAATAAATTATATAGATTAAAAAATAAATATATTAAAGTAAGGATTGCTCGATTTCACAATTAATGAGAATAGAAATAACACAGTCTCTTAACTTGTTCACTTACTGGATGAACTGTAGTCCCTTCTCTATCTCTTCTTTACGTTTTTGTCTCTCCATTACAGTCACTGCAGTGGGGGAAAAGCATATATTAAACCTTTAGAGTTTGAGCGTACCCCACGATACAACTTTAACAATAACATAGGATAGTTTTAACTAGAGGTACCTGGGACTGTACAAGTAAAGAAGGGATGGGAAACCTGTGGTTGTCCAGATGTTGTATGAATCCTCCAATGTTTCCTGAGCACTGGGTGTGGTTGATGAGAGCTAGAAGTCCAACAACATTTGGAGGTCCACAAGTTGCTCATCTCTGCTGCTAAAGCATGCATTCCAACACTGAGGAATGGTCTCTCACAGCTGCTGCTTCAAATGTGGTGGGTTAAACCCATTTAGAAATGTACATTGGTACCTCGGGTTACATATGCTTCAGGTTACATACGCTTCAGGTTACACACTCTGCTAACCCAGAAATAGTGCTTCAGGTTAAGAACTTTACTTCATGATAAGAACAGAAATCGTGTTCCGGCGGCGCGGCGGCAGCAGGATGCCCCATTAGCTAAAGTGGTGCTTCAGGTTAAGAACAGTTTCAGGTTAAGAACGGACCTCCGGAACAAATTAAGTACTTAACCCGAGGTACCACTGTATAGAGAACAGTTCCCACCCTCAAATGGGCCTAGAGACCAATAGAAGAGTGCAAATACTGTTATTAAACATAACTACATGTAAGTGCATACTACAGTAGCCACTCCCCCCCTTTTAAAGCAAGGATAAAGTTTGCTTGATCCACACTGCCCCAAAATGGCCTCAGCTGATCTGCTACCATTCCAGCCTCAATGAACATCAATGGACTGGGGTCTGTACAGAGGAACAAAATCCTGCTTTCTGTTGACACATTTTCTTCCAAATAGATGTATGCATTACCTTTTCAACATTCCATTTTCATACATCCCCAAGTGCCCACTTTTTAGAAAGCAAACTTGAAAGGCAAGCTTTGATTTCCAGGATACCATAGAAACTACCATCTTATGCATAGAGATGTTACTCTACGCAATTCATGGCAACACAGATTCTAAGACCCATCTAGCTACACTAGGTTTTTCCAATTTTGAAGATGCAAACCAAAATGAAGGCTGTGAATTATTTATGGTGGTACAACTAGGAACATGAAAGGTGAAGATGAAACCAAGCAACCAACTCAGTTCAGGAGAAAAATTCAGAGCACAAAAATTATGTCATGATTCAGTGCACTGTTCTGACATTTCATATTAAAAATACAAAACAGGAAAATTTGCTCTCAGCTATCTTTAGCTGTGCTAGGCAAACTTAAAAGTATTTTTCAGTTGGTCAGGTGCAACACAAGATGCGCTGAATCTGCAGCAGAATTAGTATTCCAAATTGCTGGAAACCGGGTATTTTTATCTGCTGAAACCAAAATGCCATCGCAAAAAGGAGAAAGTTCAACACAGGGGGGAAAGTCCAAGTGAGATTCAGCACATCCCATAATGTACAACACAAATTAAGACTAAGCTCTGAGTGAAGTTTGCAATGCTCTATCAAGCCTTACTTTGTGGGATCAGTTCTGGCAGCCTGAGGACTTTGACAAGTTATTTGTGACTATGCCTCCAGTGCTGTCTCGACCATTGTTTTTCAAAACTGATTAAAGCTAGCTGCAGGGTGGGCGTGACTGGGTGCAGTGAGGAAGTCCAGGGTGCAGTGAGGAAGTGGTGCCTACAAATACATCCCAGTCACAAGGTACTCATGAGAATTGCGACAGCGCACACAGGCATTCTAGGAGAAAACTGTTTAGATGCATTCCAAATTGAGTTCGGATCTGGGTTCAGGACTCGGCTATGGTCACTGTGAAAGATTACCTCTATCGGGAGGGACAGGAGGAATGTGACCCTACTGCTCCTGCTTAAACTCCTGATTACAGGTTTCAGTATCATCGGCCATGATATCCTCTTGGACCATCTATGGGAGATGGGTATTGGTGCACTGTTCTGCAGTGACTTTGGGCTTATCTCCAGGGATACTTCCAGAAGTTAACACTGAATATGTGATTCTCAGCCCCCCTGGCTCTTGAGTTATGGGCTGCTGCAGGGCATTATAGTGTCTCCAATGCTATTTAACATATATATGAAGCCACTGGGAGCAGCCATTAGAAGATGAAGAGTCATCAGTACTCTGATGATACCCAAAACTTTTTATCCGTAATATCTGAATTGGAAATGGCTGAGCAGGCCATGGACCAGTGTCTGGAAGAAGTGGTGGGCTGGATGAGGGCTAATAAACTGAATGTGAATCCAGGCAAGACAGTGTGTGTAGAGGGTGGGGTTGGGTTCCTAGGTTCAGTGAGAATGTGTCCCGATCCAGGATGGGGCCAAACACTCCCTGAAAGAGCAGCTGCAAAGTGTGGAGTGCTTCAAGATATAGCTCTATCCCTAGAGATGCAGGTGTCTATGATGAGAGCCTAACCTCGACTGTCCATGCATTGGTACTTCAAGGTTGGATTAGTGCAATGCACTCTATGTGGGGGCTACCCTTGAAGCTGGCCCTGAGGCTGCAGCTAATGTACAATGCAGTGTCTACGGTAGGTTGCTTGTGGAGATAAACCACTAGCAGCATATAGCACTTTGTTTGCAGGATTTGCATGGGCTGCCAATCTACTACTGGGCCAAATTCAAGGCTTCGGTACTAACACATACAACTTAGGACTAGGTTGCTTAAGTGACCACTTTATCCCTTATACACACAGTGGGTCTCTGTGTTCTGCAAGAGTGTTTCTCCTTCAAGTGCCCAAAATAGCAGAAACGTGTTCCAAAGTGACTTGGAGCAGGGCTGTCAATGTGGTTACCCCTGTTTTGTAGAACAGCATTCAAGTTTAGATACAACAGGAATCTACTATCTGTACACTCCAGAAACAATTTAAGATTTTGTTATTTCAATAAGCTTTTCCAGCTGGGTGAAAAGGTCTCTGTTCATTTTGTACTATTCGTGTTTGTGAAAGGTTAATAATGTTTTCAAAACTTTTTAAAGCTGTTTTTGTGATAATGTAAGAGATTATTCATAAGTTTACTATTATTTATTAATAAAATCAGCCAGCAAATACATAATCCTATCGGAAGTCATAACTCTACATAAATTTCCAAATAAAAAAAACTGTATTTGGGATTCTTATATGGCAGGTGATACAAAAGTTAATGCATCTTACATATAACGTTGCCCACATATGCACCACAGAACTGTCATCTAAATATGTTGATGTCCTTGTCTGGAAATGCATTTTTGTAAAGGTCCTTCTCAAAGGAGTAACAATTTATTGTTAAATTTAAGCAGACTTTAAAACATCATGGGATGGTTTAACTATAAAATATATTTTGTAACCATGGTATTAATATTGGTTGGTTATATTGTTATTTGTCTGTCAATCCCTTTAGACTGCCTTAATTTTTAGAAAGGGGGAAAAAGCAACACAACACTGCTGTGAGGGATGGGAAGAAGTCTGAGGTTGGTTTTTATTTTTTGCACAAATATTTAAAATCATCTTGAGTACTTCTGCTGGAGTAGCACACCTGGTAGTATTTTGCTTCTTAGGGTTTTTTAAAGTTCTCAAATGGGGTAACATAATAGGGAGAAGGAAACAAATGTTTCACTTTTAATATGATGTTACAGGCACTAGCCAATAGCTACTCATGACATGCCTACAGTTTAAACTAGATGGTGCAGAATGATTTTGCCAATGGTCTAACTCAGTGTAAGGCAGCTTCCTATGTTCCTGTGTACAATGGATAGTCATTTTATGGGGTTTTAAGATCCACCTAATTATTCCTCTAGCTGGTTTTAAATTGGTTTGTTTTTTGCTGCTGTGTATACTGTTCTTTAGATTTCTTTTCTTTTATTTCCAGTTCTGTATTATTATTGTTGGTTTTCATTGTTTTTACTGTTTAAACTTTGGATTGTTTTCGTATTTTAGACTGGATCTACAAACTGCTCAGAGTTGGTATACTGCAGAGTAAAAGCTTAATACTGCTATAACATGCACTAAAAGCTTAAAATGAGAAATGAAACAAATGAAAAGGGACACATTTATTATCATGGTTTCAAATCTCATGTTTTCTAGACTCCCCTCCAACCCTGAACCTTGGGAGTTAGTAATACAAAGCTTTTATAATCCCATATGTTTGGAACGTTTCACCGATCAAGCGATAAGGAGACTCTACCGAGAAAATGTACAAATGGCTTGGCAGACTCACAACAGGTTCGTTGCATTCATGCAAATTGTGATGTTTTCTTTGCATAAAGAAAGCTGTGCGGCTTAGTTGCAGCCCTCAATATCGCACATTAACAGGGTAGCATTGAGCTGCAAACCCAAATGTAAGATTACTTTTACAGCACACATCTCCCTAGCGCTTCTGTCTCCCAAATATTTACATGCACCGTAAAGACCTCTGCAATATGAAGGGGAAAAGGAGGGAGGGAGGGAACAGATTCTCTTTTTCAGGAACGGTTTCAACACGTTTCCCATTCCCCCAGTGTTCATTCTCCCAGTTTTCAACATATTTTGGTTAGCTATCATACTATAATGCAACAGGCGTATAACAGACATTAGTAAGCCTTTTCGATGTGGATTGTACCCTGTTTATGCGCATTGGCGGCATCTTCCGTCTTGTTGATTTGCCTCTATTGCTCTCCTCCTTCAAATACGGTCCTCCTTTTCATTACCCCCCCCAAACCCCATTAACAGCCCTAAAACACACATGCACATTTTTCTGGTTTAATTCCTCTAGAATTGACCCCATTCCCACCAATCCAAGGCCTCCAAATCCCCGGCCTCGGTTAGCAAAAGTAACCGGCGTTAGCTGTGCCTCGAACGCGGAAACAGACAAGGAAGGAGCCGCCTGCCTTCTGCCTTCGGAAGCCACGACACACAACTTGGTGCTGCTAAGCTCACAACAAACTGTCACGGGTGGTTCCAGACTAAAAAAAACCCGCCCAAAAATGATTTTAAATGAAACATTTCCGTTCTGCTAAGCAACGTAACTTTTACAAGTCATAGATTATAAAATGCCAGACGAGGCAATAACCAAACCTTTTTTTTTTTTTACTCAACTCCCCCTCGTCCAAGATCAGCCTTTCTGCAAAGATTCTCTTCACTGTGACTGTGTCTAGTCAGTGCTTTTGAGCAAGAAAGCAATAAAATAAAATAAAAATTCTAGAACCGCAGAGCCGAAATGAAACCGTGAGAGAAGTCAAAAGGTTTCTGGGATCGCCATTCAGTTCCGAGCTCCCGCTAGTTCCTCCCCAAAAAACTTCCCAACCTCAAAAGGGAGGAAGAAGACATTTATCTTTTTAAGAATTCGACCCGGAGAGACGGTAGTAGTGTGACTTTCGCGTCCTATTTAATTCTGGTTGGGATTAAGCAACATATGCAGTGAGAAATATTTCCGTTACTCATCTGCAAAACTGAGCAATATTGCTTCAGGGGTATTTTGGCCCATCTTCATACCCCCAACCCAGCCACCCTCCTCCTTCCTAGCTTCCTTCCTTCACAGAAAAACAACAAAATAACCAACTCACCTCCTCTGCTAGGGGATTCCCCCTAAACCCCGCCTTGATAAATGCTATGATATTACTAGAGATATTATTAGAGCATTATTACGGTTAGTAATAATACTAGTAATTGCTATTTAATTACAGAAGGCAGCATTCTGTTCCTAGAGCTGCTGCCGATACAGCTCCCTCCATGTGCCTCTTGGTCTTTTTTACTTTCATTTCCAGGTCTCTCCAGCTCAGTCTCACCAGCAAGGCAAAATGCTTCCTTGGGATCCCTCCAGGTCCTACAGTCCACTGCTTCATCGACACCACACACATAACACCAGCCTTCTTAGCAGAGATTTAGGCTGCAATCCTAATCTCATTTACCTGAGAATAAACCCCATTGAATTCCATATGGCTTCCTTCTTTAGTAGATATGGTTATAACTGCATTGCAATCTATGATGATAAACATCTGAGCAAGGATGTTTACAGTGGTACTTGGGTTAAGTACTTAATTCATTCCGGAGGTCCGTTCTTAACTTGAAACTGTTCTTAACCTGAAGCACCACTTTAGCTAATGAGGCCTCCAGCTGCCGCCACGCCACTGGAGCACGATTTCTGTTCTCATTCTGAAGCAAAGTTCTTAACCCGAGGTACTATTTCTGGGTTAGCGGAGTCTGTAACCTGAAGCATCTGTAACCTGAAGTGTATGTAACCCAAGGTACCACTGTAATAATAAATGAGCGAAGGAAATAAACCAACAAAATGTTATTATTATTATTGTTATTTATTATTATTATATTTGCAAATATACAGTTAAATGCTTAATCTACCTGTGCATTTCCCTCTTATTTCTCTCCCTAATTATTATTCTGTTAATCTGTTGTTCAGATTCACTTGATTATACAGGGTACTAGGTAATTGAGAGGCAAAAACAGTGCAGTTTTTTATTATGACAAAATACAGCAAAATAGCCCCATTGGCTATTAGTTATAGATAAGCAATATGCTAATATGCTATTCCCAATGCCCAAGGCTGTGGAATTAGTTTGAGTCAAATTTAGAGGATATAACAATTAATTCCACCTTTCATGCCATGGTAGGGGATGGAGATGGAGAGAGTAGGTTTCGCAAGACCTTTCAGCAGCTTTCAGGACCATCAACCATAGGGACTGGGCCTTTGAGGTATTAGCCACTCTATCCATTGTCTTTTTCTTCTTTTGATCCTTTCCTCCTTTCTAGCTGTGCATAGCACAGTCTTCCCTCTCTCTTTGTCCAACTCCTATACATGCCTTTGCACTACTCATGCAAGGGTGTAGGTGCTTGTCCAACCAAAAACTGGCATTTCAGTAAAGAATATTCCAGGCAATTTATCAACAGATAGTACCAGACTAAGGCTACAGTTCTAGACCCGCTTACTTGGGTAGACATGTATAGGACTGTACTGTAAACTACTTTATCCATCTATAAATGTGTATGAATAATTATCAGAGTAATATAATAACTAAGTCACCTGTAAAAGGTGATTACTTGCAGTGATAGATAGATAGATGATGATAGATAAAAAATCAGAGTATATAAATAGAAGTCAAACTTGATAGCGTCCCAATAAGTAAAGACAACCAATTTTAGGAGTGAGTATAAAACAAAGGATACTTAAAAATGATTAGGGAATAAATGTTTAACCAGCCCAGCAACTGATGAGGAAGGTGTCAAATTAAACATATATTTATCAATTTAATGAGAAAAAATTTTATCCTCTCCTTTACAGAGTTGACCACAGAGTTAGTCAACACTGAAATTGAGAGAGGAAAAAGAGGTAAATTCACGAAAAACAAGAACGTGTGAAGCTAGTCAACATAATAACTGGGGATGTTGTTGATCAAGTTGTCCCCCAAATCAGAAGGAAAATCAACAAGCAATACTTTTTCTTGCTGATGATCGGTCCCCCCCCCCGTTTTGGGGGCTGTTGAGTTTGCTCTGCTTAGTTTTATTTATGTCTCACTCTAGGGTATCTTGAGTGATTGAAAGGCAACCAATAAATTATTTTAATAAGGCAATAAACTGTGACGAATGAAATAGAAAGCCCTGTTAAAACTGGTGGGCTGCATATGTGGTACATATCTGTATCAGCACCCTTCATAAATGACATTTCCCTGGATTCTTTTAGGTAAGCAATTGACTCAGGAAGTGCAAATGTTAGCCTCTGCTCTGTCTTCTCTCCACAGGTGGACCAAATAAATTCTGACCTTCCTCGGAGAATCCATGTCTGTCTTTATTGGCTGGGGAAAACCCTGCAACACCCTGACCGTTTAAAGTGATATGATACGGCTTTAAGTGTATAGCTCAGATTGGGCCTAGTTCACAACACACTGAAGCAATAGTGTCGTTTTGTAAAAGTCTAAACTATACCCTCCAACATTTCTCCGATGAAAATTGGGACGTCCCATTCCATAATGATAATTTTACTTTTACATGTCTCACTGGGTTGCCCCAGCCATTCTGGGCGGCTTCCAAATGTATAAAACATAATAAAACATTTAAAAAAACCTTCTCTATACAGGATTGCCTTCAGGTGGCTCAGAGGTTGGATAACTCGAAACCCTCCAACATTTCTCCAATGAAAATAGGGACATCCTAAGGGAAAGTGGGAGATTCCAGGATCAAATCAGAAATCAGGATGGCTTCTCTAAATCAGGAACGTCCCTGGAAAATAGGGACACTTGGGGGGGGGTCTACTAGACCAGAGGATTTTCAGAACAAATTCTTTTCCCCCCCACCTTTTTCTAAACTAAAAAACTTCAAACGTTGTAATTTTTCCCTCATAAAACAGTTTCTTAAAGGTAGTTCTTAAAGGCACAGGAATTCTTCAAGAAAATAGGTAGCAGTCGCACTAAAAACAAAACAGAACCATATAATCGTATCCAAACCCGTTACACACGTCTGACCCGCCGCTCCAAGCAACAAAATAGTGGGGAACTCAGCCTCTTTCACTCCACCGCAAAGTTTTGTTTTTTAAAGGGGGAGCTCGAGGACACTTCTAGTAAAAAAAAAACTACAGCTCCCAGGATGCTTTGCGGCAAAGGGGGGAGCCGCGTCGTGCGACGCGAAATTGTGACCTCTCCCCTCCGTTTCGGCTCTCGCACTAACAATTGCCTGGGCGCCTTTAGGAGGAAGGAGGGGGCAAAGGGGAGGAGGCAGGCAGGCCGTGAAAGCCCCTTCCTGCGCAGGCGCGGAAGACCGGGAAGGCGAAGAGCGAATCACAGCGTAGGAAACAAAACTGCCGGCTTTCAAATCCTCCGCCTCCCATAACGCCATCGTCTTCGTAGGCTTGGGGCTGCGGTAGCGTTTGCAACGTGACAGGCTGGAACCCGGCGCTTTCGCAGGTAAGCGGCGGCGGGGTGGTCTCGCGCGAGGAGGGGCGGGAGTTGGCGGGCTGGGTCTATTAGGCAGGCTCGCCGGTGAGACGGCGCCGGGTGGGTTTGTTAGCGCCGCCTCCCCGCTTTCCGCCCCGGCCATGCCAGGCGCGGCGCGTGGTGGGAAAGGAGGAGGCACTTGCGCGTTGCCCCTCGAGATACACGTGTCCGTATCTTCCCACGGGACATACACCGTGCTCGGTTCGCCCGGCGGAGACGTGGATCCAAACCTCCCCACTAGGAGTGCCTTTTTTACCAGCCCAAAACTCTCGGTCCCTTCCCTGTATGACGTCACGCCCTCGTTGGCAGTTTTAGGGCCCACTCGGGTGAGCCTGTTGTGTAATTTTGTTGTGCTGTTGCGTTTGTGCATTACGGAGCGAGGGGCTCGAGTCACCTCTTTGCTCACCTTCTCTCAGTTCCACTTTTTCTCAAGTGAGCATCTGCATGGGAGGCTGCTTACGTAGAATAGCGAGGAAGCAGACGGAACTGAGTCAGTGAAGGCGAGCGGTGTGTCTAGATTGGCTAGGCGATGCTCGATGACTGAAATAGCTTGCAACATGAGGAAATACGTCAGCTTCACGCATTTTCCTTTTGCTTCAGGAGTAGGGTGATAAAGGCAGAAAAACAAAAGGTTTTAAACAGGACTTTTGTTTGGGAAGTGATTATTCTAGTGGAAACAAGTTGACAGTCTCTTGACCTGTGTAACAAACCACTAGTTAATAATAATATTGAAGCGTTTTGGTACTGAAGAGGTGGTAATAATGTGCCTTTAGCAGCACTGATAGTCACTAAAATATTTATCAAAGCAGGAGTGGAAAATTAAATACAGTTTATGTTTTTTTTTAAAAAAAACATGTCTTGTCTTCTACAACAGTCTGAACAGAGAACTAGCAATACCATATCATTAATGGGGAAATCCAGTTAAAGTAAGACAAGAAAAAAATGAGTTAGAAAGCTTGATAGTCATGGAGCCATTGCCAAAAAGCTAACTTTCTCCCCTCCCCAACTACACTTCTGATAGTGGTGAGATGTTAAGCCAAGCCTCTGTCGGTAACTCAGTGGATGGGGCGGGAATGATCTTTTTAAATACAGTGGTACCTTGGGTTACATACGCTTCAGGTTACAGACTCCGCTAACCCAGAAATAGTGCTTCAGGTTAAGAACTTTGCTTCAGGATGAGAACAGAAATCGTGCAGTGGCGGTGCGGCAGCAGCAGGAGGCCCCATTAGCTAAAGTGATGCTTCAGGTTAAGAACAGTTTCAGGCTAAGTACGGACCTCCGGAACGAATTAAGTACTTAACCCGAGGTACCACTGTATCATGGTCCCAAATAGTGCAAAACTGAACTGGAAACCCATGATGAGACGCCCATAGGTGGGACATAGGCGCAACAACACACTGCCATACCTTTTCCCTAGCATATTCACAAGCATACTTTCTTCAGTACTGGAGACAGAATATTGCTATTGTGACAAGTAGCCACTGGTAACCTTATCTTCAATGTATTTATGTAATACCTTTCAAAGTCAAACAGATTGGCATCAGTCACTACATAGTGAATCCATAGTTTAGCTATGATGTGTTTGAAGAAGTACTTCCTTTGGCCTGTCCTGAATTTCCCATCATTCAGCTTCTTAGGATGATCCTTGGTTCTAAAGAAAAGGACGACAGACTCCACCCACTAAATAAATCCATGCTATGCATAATTTTATACCGGTACATTGTTACAAAAATCTAGTGCCTGCCTCTCTCACTGCCAAGCGGTGGCAAGAGCCCATGGGGTCACAGGGACACACAGGGTCTTTGTCCCTTTGGAGAACAGAAGACACGGCAGAGACTGTTG